CCGGCGCTGAAGGGCGACCGTTGGACCGCGGGGCAGAGGGGCGGGGCTAAGAGGCGGGCGGGGCCGAGCGGCGGCTGAGTGGGCGGGGCCGAGCCCAGCGGCGGACTGGCGGGGCGGGGCGGGGCAGGGGGCGGGGCCGGGCTGGCGGGACTTCCCAGGCGGGGCCGGCTCCGGCCTCCCGTCCGCGGCCCGACTGCGGGCCCGTGGTGTGGGGGTGCTGCGGCCCCCGGTGCGTGACCCCCCGCCAGAGGGGGCGACCTGCCGGGCTCGGGGGCGCGGCGGGAGAGCGGCCGGACGGTGAAGGTGAACAGTTCTCTGGAGAGAGACCCTGCCTGTATCTTTCTCGATAAGCATTCTTTTCTTTCAAGAGTTAAGTTTTCCAGACTCGCTCAACATCACCTTAAAAAAGCTACTATGGCCCTGATCGGTTTGGCTCAGTGGATAGAGCCTCGGCCTGCGGACTGAAGGGTCCCAGGTTTGATTCCGGTCAAGGGCATGTACCTTGGTTGCGGGCACATCCCCAGTAGGGGGCGTGCAGGAGGCAGCTGATCAATGTTTCTCATCGATGTTTCTCTCTATCCCTCTCTCTTCCTCTCTGTAAAAAAATCAATAATGTATATATATATTTTTAAAAAGTTACTCTAAAGTTATCCTCGCCTCGTTTGACCTTTTTACGAAGGCTGCCTCCAACGCCCCCTGCCCGGCGGTACCCACGGGTTTGCGTCACTCACTACCGCTGACGGCCATTGAAACTTGAAGCCAGACTCTTGCCGGAGCCTTTCTATAGTCCTCAGCCCACAGCCTCGGTGCCCATCTTTACATCCCTTACACGTTGGAATGATGGTTTATGCCAGGTTAATATCTCAACTACTTTGCAATTGAGATGTTAATAGGCCCATTCATGATTAGCTTTGGGAGCTTGAGTTATTTCTTAATTTCTCTTTTGAAAAACATGAGCGCCAGCCCTTGGATGTTGCTGCTCCCTGAGAAATCAAGAAGGGGAAGCCAGGAGGGTGGAGCGGGGCGTGTGACTGCCCCCCAAGATTCCTCTAGTTCAAAACGGCTCCCAGTGGAGGGGAGGGTGGTGCGGAGCAGGAATCACTCCAGTGCTCTAAGGGATGCTTCCTTTGCAGGAGGAAAAGGTACCTTCAGCCAGAGATAGAAGGTGGACTGAAGGTGCTTTTATCTTCAAAATATATCTTTATTGATTTCAGGGAGGAAGAGAGAGATAGAAACATCAATGATGAGAGCGAATCATTGATTACCTGCCTTGAACGCTCCCCGCTGGGGATGGAGCCCACAACCCAGGCTTGTGCCCTGGACCGGAATGGAACCCCGGACCCTTCTGTCTGCAGGCTGATGCTCTATCCACTGAGCCAAACCAGCTAGAGAAAGGGTGCTTTTAACACTTTAAATTTTATTATGCAGGAATCCCTCTCCTCATATCCTTGAACCCTGGTTTTCAGCTGCAGGGATCCTGATAGTTTGTATTCAGTCCAGCACTTCTTTTCTAGGCCTCTGGATGTGGTACTGCATTTATAGCAACCCGCTCTGCTCCCTGATAATCTTGGAACCTCTGGTGCATTCAATAACATCATTAAATTAGAAAAATAATATTTTCCACTGTTGAAATCCAAGCCATCATACAAACAGAACTAGAGTTGCATGCGGAATGAATATTTTATTACTAGATTATAAAAATAAAATACAAAATAATTTTAAAACAGAACTTAAAACACTGTACAAAGCTTTAATATGATACAAATGGGAAAATTAAATAAATAATTACACTTTTATGTACAGATGACCCATACAAAAGCACTCCACGTTTCTGTCAATACTCTATTGTCCTTGTTGCCTGAGCTAAAATGCATACAGAGGGCTGCTTGGAGGGGAAAGAGACACAATACCATTGGAAGCATTTCCAAAAGAATTTCTCATCACTGATTTCATGAAGAGGAGAAGAAAGGGAGAAAACTGGAATTATTAAAGTCCTCCATGCTGACATATTGGTGTTGCTTGACAAGAGAGAATTCTTTTGGTTTGTGATTCAATCTGATTTAACAGCTGCCAATAGTTCATACTTTCAAGATTTGTATCTAATGAAAAACTAGATATTTCCCCCGCCCCCCTTTTTTCCCTAAAAGCTGTCAATGTCTAAGTAAACAGCCTAATTAAATGGGCATTGGCTATTTTAGGAAAGGAGTCAGGAAGGGGATCAGGGGCTGTGTATGAGGGAGAGGGGAGGAGGCTCAAGCCTGGGTCATCAGATCTGTTCTCTTTATTTGCTTCACTCAATCCAATTTCAGAGCCCTGAGTGGCACACTGTTGTATTTCCTTTATCTTCCTATCTGTATTTCTGAATGCTTTTTATCTTAGTGAACTGATTTATCTATCTGAATGGTTTAAAAATAAAATATTTTGAAAAAGTCCCAAGGGCATTTCCCTGCCTGGGTTGCTCTCCTAAAATAAATCACATTCGAGCTCTGGTAGCCTTGTTTACCCTTGTGGGTGAGTGAAGAACAACCCAGACAGACTCCAGGCATGTTGAAGTGCTGCACATGGAATTTTAAGGACTTAAACCAGTGGTCGCCAACCCGTGGTCCGTGAGGTCCGAAAGGCTGGCGACCGCTGATTTATACCGTATGTTATAAGGGGGAAAGCATCTATGACAAGGGTAGTTTATACAAAAACTTGGTTTATTCAATGTTTTTAACTGGATGAGTGAACACTTCAGTACACAATATAAAATATTAAACTAATGAAAAGAAATAAAATTCCTATCCATCGTTAGCATGTAAAGTTATGTCATCAGCAAATTCTACAGTCACATGGGCCAAAGATCTGCCTCAGTGAATCCTATTCTCTAGGTCAAGGAACCCAGAAGCCCTGGGTGTCTGAGAGACATGTCAGTATCACCAGTGCTATACACTATGCCCAAAACTGTCACTTCCAATTAAAGAGGCAGACCTGGTTAAAGTTTCGCATGGCAACGAAGGAAAAAGGCTTCACTTCTTTTACATGTCTCTTTAAGACCAAGAAACAAGCAAAGTCTAAGGAAATATTCAAATCATTACCAAATAAATGGTACTTGGCTATTCAGTTCTTGAGACTGTGATCTTGATCTTGTCACATACTTTTAATTTTCTGATCCAAATTTGCTTAAGGGGAATAATAAAAAAAAGTCAGAGCCAATAATCACAACTGAATTAAAAAATATATTAATGGGCCAAGACTTTAATGACATCATTTCACATCCAGCCAGGGATTTTTAGGGATTGAAATGTGCAGCATCCAAATTCCCCTTTACAGGAACAGGGAGCCTTACCCCATGTCCTGGAGTTATCTAAGAACTAAAGGAATTCCCCATGTGCCTCCTGCAGTTCTCTCCAGCAAGGTTGGCAACAGATTCCTCAGGCTCTCAAGACTATCTGGGTTAAATTTCTCATAATTCTAGAGGGACAGCTAAGCTACTAATATCTAATGATCTGATGTTTCCACACTACTCCCACATCATTAAAAAAAATTTTTTATAAGAGTTTATTTAAGCCAAAACTGAGGACAACTGCTGGGGAGCAAATCTCAAATGCTCTGCTCCCACATCCTTGAGGTCCACACCAGAGTTCTGTTGGATGAGACAAGGAAGTAGGATGTCCTACAACCACCTGGGGCTTCCCCATGGACTAGAACCATCTTATTACCTTCTCTAAGTTACAGTCCAGGTATGCACCTATGGTTTCTGAACTTGGGTGAATATTGATTTATGAGGACTACCATAGTGGTTCCATTTCTTACTCCTGTAATACATTTGTAGTAAAACATAGATAAGTAACTGCAAATAAACTGTCTACAGAACCAAACTCAAGAAACTTAAACAATGGCATTGTCAATCATTTTATCGCCACAGTAATACAGGTGCTAAAAATCTCTTTTCAGGCAAGGCCCCCAACACATCTGTGGTAAATACACATAAGCAGAAATGGGCAGATGTTAAGAGAATGAATGTAAACAACTTAATTTCAAAATACAGGAGCATGACAGGAGAACTGTTTCCCTATGTATGCCATGTTTGACTGATATAAAGGAATGAAAAACATTTTTATATGTCAAAATCTGATCTTCAAGACTAAATCTAGACTTATCTACAAGTAAATCTATTTTCAAACAGCCAGAGTACGATGTATTTCCCCCCTAAATTCTGAATTCTGGATCTTGTTTCTCCTATCACCAGTTCCTTATGTTAGATTAAGAATGTAGTTCCTAGAACAAAGAATCCTCTGCTTTTGGGGAAAAGGCATCTGTTTTTTATTCAAAGGTACAGAAAAACTAATTGTTATTTTAACTATCTGTGTCTGGGTTTATAAAACATGCCCTAACGTACACCTTTTCCTTGTTGATTAAAAACAACCATAGAAACCTTTGCATAAAAATCTGTGGCTTATAAGGAATCTCATGATTACTAAAGAACCTCAAGTTCCCACAGTGGTAGGAGGAGCTAAACAGAAAGATACTGCATAACTAGTTCACTGTATTAGTAAGCAGCTGAAATTTGTTTAGTATTTTAAAGCAAATAATATAAAGTGGATAATAATGGGTCTCAATTATCATTTTGTTACTTATTTAGGACTTGATTAACTTGGCAACTTTTACAAAAAACATTTACTTCACAACTGGCAACCTAAAAAATAACAGTAAATGTAGCTATGCCCCTGTCAGCAAGGCCAGCTTGCGTACCAAGTTGAGAATGATGGTGCCTGCCTAAGACTTAAACCTTCAAAGATGTTTATAATCTGTGCTTTAAAGTTAAATTTGGTATGACCCAATTTTCCTTTTTTGTTCACTATATGTTAAAGTTAAATACCTTTAAGCTGTGCGAAAGATTACTATGTGAATGTTTTGGTTATTTTGTGACAGTCAAAAGGCCGTGCAAAGTTCGGCCAGGCCCCAGCTTTCCTTACAGTTGGAGCCCTCTCGCTTTGTAAAGTGTGACTGCCCTTCCTTTTTGTACAGAAGATGAATTGTATTCTGCATTTTGTCTACTTGTAAGTGAATGTAACATACTGTCAAATTTCCTTGTTTGAATATCGAATTGTAACACTACAAGGTGTACATTTCCAGAGCCTTGTGTATATTTCCAATGAACTTCTTTGCAAGCACACTTGTAACCATATGTGTATAATTAACAAACTGGTGTATGCTTATGCCTGGGCAACTATTTTTTGTAACTCTTGTGTAGTCTGTCTCTAAACAGTGTGTGATCTTTTTTTGGAATCTGAGTTTGTGCTTTAACTTTTTTCTCCAATATAAAAAAGTGCCCCAGGGCAACAACAACAACAAAAAAGATTACTATGTGGAATTTTAAAATCGTTTAACCCATCTGTACACCCTGGAGATCTGGCAGCATAACTTAGAAAGAATGCTACCTGAAAGGAACAAAATGTTGCTAATTCCATCTTCCATTTCACCCAAGTAGTTCCAGAGATTAGACAGGGAAGGTAAGAGCAAGGTAACCAGCCACTTTGCTGTGACAGGAGAAATGACGAGGCACTTGATTTTCAAAAGATAATTTACTTCTGCTCCATAATACTTTTAGTGTAGTTTGGCTTGACTTTAACTGACGGCCATGTCCCTCATCTTAGGTAGAATAACCAAACTGGTTTAAAATTCCTTGGATGATCTATGTTTGTCACTGAATTTTGAAATATGCCATCACTAAAAAAAAATAAAGAAAAAAGAAAGAACTGAAAACAACAATACAACTCATTCTCTGTATCAGACTTTAAAATAAAACAAAAACAAAAATCCTTGTGCCAAAAGGGCTTTACTCAGGGCTGTGAACTTCTCTTTTTAGCCCGAGACATGTATTATCTAAAAGCACAAATTGCACTTAAAAACCGTAAAATCTCTATGCAGGGTGGGACAAAAGTAGGTTTACAGTTGTGACTATGCAAAACAGTTAATTCTTGTATTATTATTTATTAATTACTGTATTGTTTTCCACACAAAGAACTAAAACCCTACTTTTGCCCCACCCTGTATAAGATAGTAGTACTTTCAAGTGGACCTACTGATACATAATATTAGTTTGTTTTCTTTTTCAAGCAGAAAAATCTCTGGTTAACACTTTTCTCTACATGCAAAATAAAATAGTCTTACACAGCAAGACTATTTCTGGACCTTGAGTTTGTGGGTACCATTTAGAAAAAGGAGCAAAACACAGTGGGAAAGTTGTGAGAAAAATGGAAAGAACTAAAAAAGAGGAAAAACATTAAGTTGCCATCTTTGCCAGTTTTGACTGCTAGCAGAGAAATGTCAATCAGATATAAAGTCACACACACACACACCACACCGCAGCCTCTCAGCTTTTCCGATGGTTACTACAAGCACATTTCTGACTAAAGGGGTCAAGATGTAAAGCTGGCTACTTTTCGCACAATTTTGCAAGTAGAGCAGAAAAAAAGAGAATTTCTTAATTGTAGATTACTCCTCCACCACCCCTCAAAAAGTGAAGTTAAAAGAGGAAAGCAGAATGGTAATTTTAAGGGATTTTTTTAAAAAATCAATTCGTCAGACCCATGATTATCATCCCAGTTTATCCACTCTAACCGTAAGAACAGCATTATGTAATTAACAAGACCAGTATTACAAGCATGTCCCAGTAATTTTACCCCTATTAAAATATTTTAAAAAATGAAAATCAAATAACCTATCTTGGCCTGTTCAAGACTGCCAACCCTTGCATTATACGCAAGGAAGGCAAGAAGAATCTTAAGTGTCACGTGCCAAGAACGTATTTTCAGAAAATGAAGACAGGCAAGGCCCAAGTGTACGCGAGGCACACAGTAAAACGGTATTTCTCCATCCGTGATCTTGAAATTACAAATGGAGAATGAGAAAGAATGAGTTTATATAAGCATATGTTTCTCTATATTTTTATAAATATTTATATAATTTACCATGAATACATGCAAGTAGTGTTATAGCAACTATTATACAATATAATACAGAAAGATGGGTCTTCCAATGTTACAGTTGCTTTAGGTAAAGAGCAAATATGTCTTATCTAGTGCATTCCTCTATAGCGCTCGAAACCAGAGAGAAATTAAGATTCCACACTATGCTACAATTCTTATGGGAGACAAAATATGCCTCAATAGTGTTTTGAGGTTTTTTTTTTTTTTTTGTATGTTTTTGTTTGTTTGTTTGTTTTTTTTAGAAAGCTCAACACAGATAAAGAGAACAAGATAAGTTCAGTGCAGCTTCAGGGCAACTTTGATGCAGCATTAGAATATGTTCACTTGGTGAGAAAATATATTTCTTTTCCCCCCCAAATTCAACCACATTAGGTTTGGCAGCAAACACAAGGTTGAAAAGAAAGCACAGATGTTTGCTAGAAGGCAAATTTCAACAGCAAGCAGACCAATTTACCTGACCTTAATAAGGTCTTTACAACACAAAAAACATCAAAGTATAAAAAAGCCCAATTTCAAAGTCTACTATGATTTAATTTTGCCTGATTCCTGTTAGCAGAAGAGTGAGATTAGAACAAATATGATCCTCTTTATAGCTTTGTAAATTGAGATTACATGGAAATCAGGTCAAGAAACTCAAATGTTCAAACTAAAGCACAGGAGAAGCTGGTAAAAAAAACTTTAAAATAAAAGATAAATACTGAACCTAAATTTATTTCCCCAGATACTCATTCCTAACTGACTACATGTATAAAATACAAAGTTTGAGGATGATAAGTCTCAACAACATACTTAATTTCTTTCTACTTTTCTTTTTAAACCTCTAAAAGCATAAAGTCACATTTCACAGCACTGTACTTCCTTGGTATCATCTTGGAGGTTGGCATTAGAAATAGTTGGTACAGAGAAGAATTAAGGAATCAAGGTCTACTCTGGTCAGTTTTCCTTCCACAAGGAAGAAACTAACAGGGAAAGAGAGTTCTTCTGCCTTACAGGGCATTCACCCCCACTCTGCCCCCTCTGCCTAAAGCACTAAAGCCTGCAAACTAGTTCTATTTAGATTTTCCCTTCTATTACCTAAGTGTCATCAATTATTTCTCACAATAAAAATATATTGAGACTATAGTGCTCCAAAGAAAAATTTTAGCATATGCTGCTAAAAGCATATTAGAATGTATTGTTAAAATAAAAGATTGGATCAGGTGAGAAACACTAACTTTAAAAAATATGAAATCCAAGGAGGGTACAAGGAATGAGGCAAAGTAAAGGTGTGAACTCTCCATATAGATAAATACACAAGCTACATATATGTGTATCGGCATTGGCTCCCCAGCAACAGACTTCTTACATACTTTAATACTGGAGCAATTCTGAACTCCAAAGTTGAGAAGTTTTGAATGAAAATATTAAAACAGGAGGTTTCAATTTTGCTATATAATGTTTGAGTAGAGCCTTAAAGAATAAGCAGGCCAAAGCCTTTAAAATTCCATTCCATCTCCTACTTTTGACTCTTTTGTTTTAGAAGCAGCTAAAAAAAAAAAAAAAGTTCATTTAATCAGTTTCTCCCTCTTGGATTTGCTAGAATGCCCCTTCCTGTGCAAAGGCATTAATTCCTGATCTGCTTGCTGCCTGCCTTAGGTAATTCCTTATCAAATATTTATGTCTCCTTATAAATAATTTATCATGTTACTTTCTTTTGCAAGAGAAAATCAACACAGACTTTTAAAATAGACAATACAGGGATACACGTGCATCAGGTTTAGGAGGAGGATCTCACACCTTTCAGAGATGCGGCCTGGCTCCTATCTGCTGAGTTTACTCGCTGACTTACTCTTCCCTGGGGGCGCTTTAGTGCTGGCCGAGTGGTGGTGGAGGCTGCCAGATCCTTTCAGGCCATTCTTGCTGGGTTTGCAATGCTCCTGTTGGCAGGACCTCCTGGAGGAGGAAGATCCTGAGTGGCTGGGAGGTGACTTGCTTCTCCCCAGATGCGGGGATGAACTCCTCTGGTCATGGTGGGGCCGTCCAGCCCTAGATGGCGAGGAACTAGATGTACGAGGCAACGAAGAGCTTCGAGGAGAGGCACTGGGACTCCTGCGAGGGACAACTGGACTCTTGGGTGGTGTTTTTGGATTGTGAGGGGATCCTGGACTCTTGCACTGAGTAGTGCTCCGGGGTTTCTGAGATCCATTTTGAAGAATTTGGGCCAGGCGAGAGAAAAGGTCTGAGTCGGAATTGCTACTCCCTAGGACTTTGTATCTGCGGAGCCTTAAAAGTACAGAGAAAAATTATTTTAATTCATTTCAAGTGTGCCTATAAAGTCCCAATCATAATTTGTATGATGTGAGTCAAAATTCAGGAAACACAGGTTACAGCTACTCTTTTATATACCAGTTACATGACCCTGGACAAATTATTTAATCTCTCCTAGCTTTTAATGGGAATATTATCAATCTCACCACGTTACTGAACAGCCAAGGGCGATAACCCAAGTAAAGTACTTAGTTGGATGCCTGCCATTCAGAAGCACTTGGATGTTGTTAGTCCTCTTCCTCCTATGGCATGTTTGCTCTTCTGATTTTAGGATTAAATAAAACGTCTCTAGCATAAAATGCCTTGACATTTTGTTTAAGGCTCCTAGGACAGGAATTCTGCATACATATATGCAAATATTAACCTCACAATGCAAGTCTTCAACATGATCTGTGCTCACCAATAGCAGGAACTATAGAAAAAGGTTATTTCAGCTTCATTTAATAGTTTCCAAAATAAAAGAGTACTCACTGACTTCTCTGGGACTCAGTCTCTGCCCTGATAGAAGCCTGAGATTCAGGAGAGCTGATTTTGGAAACTGACTGCCCCTCTTCACTGACAAGTCAGAGCTCCAATCCAGAAAGTATTCATATGAATAGCAATGTCTTCTTTGCCCTAAATGTTTTTCTGTTTTAGCTTAAAATCCACTCAGTTTAAGAATTTAAACCTCAAATTGCTGACATGCCACTCCTTACAGAAGGAAGTGGGAGAAGAACGTACAGAATGCAGGCACATAAATAGCTATCATCATCATCATCATCATCATCACCATCATGGGTCAGCAACAAATTACTGATTTTTTCTATGAATTTTCTTTCCTTCTCTTTCCCCACCATCTACTTATTCTGAAAAATGACATGAAACTCATTCAGGTTACGCCTATTCTCAAGGATCTTATAGTAAAAATTTTGAAATGGAATAAAATAATTCCTCTGTGCCAGGACCTAAGTGGGAAAGTTGAGTTCCCAGATGAGTCAACTCTAATATCTGGCACAATGCCACAGGCTTGACTTAGTTACTAAGTGCTACTTTTAGGGGACACTGTAAAATGCTAAATAATGAATGATAATTAAGACCTGTTTGTTGCAGTCCAAAGTAGTTCAAGCCACAGATATGCCATCTCTATTAAGCATAGATGCCAAGCAGAAGAAAAAGGGGATATGTAAATATTATTCATAGAATCACCTTTTTAAAATCTCATAAAATGACTGCTGTTTACTCATCACCATTCTTCCTATGGAAGTCTTGTCCCACTGGCACTTCAAATCTAATGTTTAGTTACCCTGAACCTGAAACCTTAGGGCAAGTCAAAACTAAACCTTCTTTAGGTAAGGGTAACAAGTTCTGCTGTGTAACGATACAGGTAGAATCTTACTTTAATATGCTTTAGATATCCTTATAACAGGAAGAGGCCTATTATATTATCTCAGACAGGCTAGTTTTCATGCAAATGTACTAGCATTTTGATTTTCACTTTATTTTTGTTAAAAGACTATCCTTTTCTTCTTTCTTCTCCAAAAGTTTAGACCATTATTCTACTCTGTGAAAGTGAGTAATGGCTCCAAGGAAAGCACTCTTAACTGGCTCATTACCTCCCAATATTTCCTCCTCTTCTTCAAAATATAATCTATTGACTCTATGGTCAACTACACATGAGAAATTCAATAAACAAATATACCATACAGTAAATATTAAAGCAATAACTTTATTATGTATTGCCGTATCTAGCATCAGACCTAGGGAAACCGCCTGTAGGATTTTTGTTTGTTTAATTCATTATAATCAGATAAACAGTAGTGCTACCAGGAGTTAGTCATCAAATGATGAACACACTATTCTTCACTAGAATTTGACATTATAATGACATCTGTTATAACAGGATGCTGACTAACCAAAGCTACAAAAATACTGAGTATCTAGTTAAAACAGACTGGAAAAGAAGTAACCTCTGTTGCATGCTAATCAGCACTGCAAGAAGCTTTAGACATACACTCCCTTATTTCATCCTCCCCAAACCATGAGGCAAATGTTCAAACCATTTTATAGATAGGAAAATTGAGGTTTACACTGCAAGAAAGTGGGTGAGCCAAGAATTAACCTGGATCAATCTGACCCCTTCAACTACACTGTGCTACGGCTTGGGAAAGGCAAGGAAGAAAGTAGACAATCAGAAGCAGGCAACAAAGAAATGAAACCTCTGACATATTGTATGTTAGAGTCAAGCAGACACAGAAACAGTGCTATACACTTAACATGGGGAGAGCATACAGCATTACCTGGCTTCTACTCCAGGCCTCGTGGGTGGCTTTCCTGGTGGTGGCCGAGGCAAGAACTGTGATGAAGCTGAGCTATTGACTTGATCTGTGTTGATCCATGACACTGGCCTTGGAATTTTGCTCTTTCTGGACTGGGAGATGATAGGTGACAAAAAGCTATCTTCAGCTGACCTGCTCAGGGGGGCGTCTATCGCCAGTCTTGAAAAGGGAGTGAAGACTTCCTCCTCAGAAAAGGGAGCAGGAACAGTAGCTAGTCTCTCCTCCAGCAATTTATCAGAGGCACTTGAGAGGTCCCCAAGAAAAGACTTGAGTTGCCTTTTTTCCACCAGAAGTTTGAGTAGGTCTGGCTGATAAGCTTTCTTTTGGAGGAGCTTTTCTTTTGCAGAGAGTGGAGAGGATGATTCGAAAGCTGAGTCTATCTCTTGTGCTAAAACAGGGATTCGGCTGTGTCTAGTTACGAAGGATGACCTAACCATATCCTTCCGGGAAGAGGGACAATGTTCACTCTCTGAAACACTATTAAATAGCTCTCTATTTCTAGGGGCAATTTTCTCTTTCTTACCCTCTTGGTGCAAAAAAGTAGAGAGGTCTCCTTGAAGACCGGGCAAGTCTTCACTCTTGATGTCATCATCCTTAGATATCTTACTCTTTTGCATTGTTGCCACCTGGCCTATCTGTCCTTCAGCACGTGGGTCAATGCCTTCTGGGGAAATTTCTGAAGTTCCAACTGACAGAAGCTTCATTCTCTCATGATTTCTGTCTTGGTTTGGCATCACACTAAAAGTCTGTGTCTTTGTCATGTCGAGAGGTTCAGTAGTCACTGAGTGATCCCTTTCTAAGTCTCCGGGGAGAGAGGAGATCTCAATATAATGCTGCCCTTTACTTAACTTTTCATCTTCATTATCTGACCCTAGCAGGCTTTTCTCTTCAGTTTCCCTAGGGAGACTCTCAAGTTCTCTCCCAGCCGGTCTGTTATGGTCAGGAAGGTCTTCTGGTCCCAGGTCTTGAGATTTTTCACACTCTCTGGTATCGAGTAACATGTCAGGACCAATATGCTCCATCTGCAGCCCCAAGTCTGTTCTGCTTCCTCCACTAGGAGGTTCTCCCTCTGTCACAACTAAACCAGAGAAGTTCTCCCTTGGAGAATAAAGTTCCACAGTGGGCTCCATAGGCTGAAGGTCCTTCTTCTCTGGCAGCTGACCATAGTGAAAGCTTCCTGAAGTCGACTGTGTAGATGCCACAGAAGGTCGAGGAATTGTAATCTGGAGAGAGAGAAGAAAAAAAAGTTAAAATGCAATAATGTAGAATATAAGTGAAGATGCAGGATTTGAGATTTAACACCTCAAATTCTAATTTATAAAAAGAACACGTATGTTGGCCGGGTCTGCCTAATTCAGTGGTGGCGAACCTATGACACACGTGTCAGAGGTGACACGCGAACTGATTTTTTTGGTTGATTTTTCTTTGTTAAATGGCATTTAAATATATAAAATAAATATCAAAAATATAAATCTTTGTTTTACTATGGTTGCAAATATCAAAAAATTTCTATATGTGACACGGCACCAGAGTTAAGTTAGGGTTTTTCAAATTGCTGACACGCCGAGCTCAAAAGGTTCGCCATCACTGGCCTAATTCATACTTAAAATGAACAATTCTGAATAAAAATGCACGACACCCAAGCTCAGGAACTGTACAGCACAGTCTTCTTCGAGGTTCACCCCTGCATTTCTTTAGCCTGCTTTGTGTTCTGGAAGACTGACTTCTGCAGACTGTGCTATCCCAGGCTCCCTTGCCTTCTGATTTCTGGGTTTGCCCAATGGCCAGCACCAACATAGAATCTGAATTTGTGGAGATAAGGGTCTGGGTATTAATTCTCTCTGCTCCCTCCCCAAGGGACTACATTCTACCACTCTTGGCCATAGCTCCTGTCACATGGCCCCACTCCCATAGATAGGATCTTACCAGGTTCTATTAACAGCCTTTCTTTCTCCTCTTTTAGGACTCAAGACAGGAATGACTCTCTCTATTTAATGTGCCTATGGTCAGTTGATAGCATCAACTTTGCAAAAGTAAACTCTGAATTTAAGCCTCAAGAAGATAATCAAGATAAATATATTATCCCCAGGCCCCCCCCCGCCCCCCCTGCCCCAATGAAGGAAATGGTAAGTTTAATACCTTAGATCAGTGGTTCTCAACCTTGCCTGCACATTAGAATCACCTGGGAATCTTTTTAAAATCCTGATTTTTGGGCCTCTCCTCCGGAAATTCTGTTTCTTTGTTATGGGGTGGGGCCACAACATTAGTAAAAAAGAAACAGAATTTCCGGAGGATGAGGCCCAGAAATCAGGATTTTAAAAAGATTCCCAGGTGATTCTAATGTGCAGCCAAGGTTGAGAACCACTGCCTTAGACATACTAGTAAGTAAAAAAGTAATGCGGCTGACATTTCTTTAGAGACCTTCAGTTAAGAAAACTTTTTTTAAAAATTGTTTTAATTATATTTTTATTGATTTCAGAGAGAAAGGGAGAGAGGGAGACAGAGAGAGAGAGAGAGAGAGAGAGAGAGAGAGAGAGAGAGAGAGAGAGAATCATCAATGATGAGAGAGAATCATTGATTGGCTGCCTCCTGCATGCCCCACATTGGGGATCAAGCTAATAACCCGGGCATGTTCTCTGACCAGGAATTGAAACGTGACCTCCTGGTTCATAGGTCGACGTTCAACAACTGACCCATGTCTGTCTGGCTAGAAAAATATTTTTATTTAATATTATTTGAAAAAGGTCAAACATATTAAATATTTAAATACTAGTCTTTCAACAACTTGATAGAGAAAATGTTGCACATAGTGTAACAGCTATAAGAATTATCTTTGTGGGCAGGACAGTATTGATGGGAATGGGCAAAAAATACTATAAGAAATTAAGCCAAGGCGTTAGAAAGCCTTTTGAAAAGAAGCACACCAGAATGCTATTGGAAAAATACTTGAACAACAGTGAGAACATAGCATCTAGAGAGTCAAAGAAAAGAAGAAACTGAATCTGGGAGGTGGAAAGAGGGAATGAATGCAAAGAGAAAGGGTGAGGTGAAAAACGGGATACAGGGAAGGGACGGAAATGGTAGGACCTGACTCTTGCCCATAGGGTACCTTTGTACAATTTGGAAAAGGATGCTCTTCAAAGAGGAAACAAAGATGCACAGTTTGGCTAACAAAGTTTGAACTAGATTTCAGACCCAACTGTTCCCTTGGCTAGGCATGCAGTAAACAACCTATATAACTTTACAAGGCAGTCTTGGGGAAGAAGGAAAGACCAACTAACTGATTAAAAAAAGGAGGTAGCCCGGCCAGGGTGGCTCAGTTAATTATCATCCTGTGCACCAAAGGGTTGCTGGTCAGGGCACGTACCTGGGTAGCAGGTTTGGTCCCAGTCAGGGTGCATTCTGAGGACAACCAATCGAGGTCTCGGTCTCTCTCTCTCTCTCACTCTCACTCTCTCTCTCTTCCCCCCCCCCCCCCCATTTCCTCAGGTGAAGATTATAAGATAAACAAATAAACAAATAAAAGAATAATAAGTAGGTATTTATTTTCCCATTTTGTAGTGTAGGTAAATTCCTACAGAGCTATTCACAAAATCAAATTCTATTATCTTTTCTCATTGTTTAACACTTGCATGAGGAATTGTGTCCTAATAAAAAACATTTCAGTCTGGGGAACAATGCTATTTCTGGTGAGTTGGAGGAGAGGGCCACTAGATGATGGTGGAATTTAAGAAAACCTGGTATTCCCACCCATGTAAGGACAGCTGTACCTGCCTGTGTCTAAGGTTTGTGTACAGTTTCTTACTGCCTCCATCTCTGGCTTTTCTGGAACTCCTGCCACTCACACAGCTGTGGGGGCAGCACTACTTACTGAAAACAGCAGTGTAACAGGAGTCTCCATATGAATGCCCAAAATGAGAGTAAACAGTAGTTTCCTCAAAACATTCTTTGCAGAAGACTTATCACAATTACCTTCAGCTGCTTGTTAAAATGCAGATTCCACTCTACCCCAGACCTACTGAAGCAGAAGTTCTGAAAATGAGCCTGGGACTCTGCATTTTAAACAATGGACATCAAAGCTATAAAACTATTGCTTAAGAGAAATGTAAAATATGAGAAATGTCTAGGTGGAGGTTACAAAAGAGAAAGGAGAAAAAAATAATTAGATTTAGCAACAGTATAAAGTACAAACCATGGGCTGGCGCCATTTTGGGGCTCAGTCCATCTGGGTTTCCAGATGACCTAATAAATGTATAATTCCTTAACAAAAATAAATAAATAAATAAATAAATAAATAAATAAATAAATAAATAATATAAAGTACTGGTACAAACCATGAATGGTTAAATATATACCTTCTTTTCTTTTATATTTTTATTGATTTCGGAGAGGAAGCAAGAGGGGGAGAGAGGTAGAAAAATCCATGATGAGAAAGAATCCTTGATCAGCTGCCTCCTGCACTCCCCCTACCTGGGCATGTGCCCTGACAAGGAATCGAACAGTGACCTCCTGGTTCATAGGTCGATGCTCAACCACTGAGCCACACCAGCCGGGTGCTTCCTCACCATGTTTCTAATGTAGATATTAAAAATATCTAGAATTATAATTTTTAAAAATCATTATGTATACCCACATAGATAGATAGTTCTTATAGTCTAAGTATAAATGTTCTTCTGAAATTAGGTTATAATGACATATTGCGTATTGAGTTGGTATCCTGACAGGAAACCTCACTTTTTGAGAAATTTCATACTAGAAGACTAACTAGTCCAAGCATCACTCCTTGTACCATTTGCATACTTAGGCCTCTGCTGAAGAACCTTAGTTGATCAACTGGTAGTCCTTTCATTTATATATATATATATATCTTTTTACTGATTTTTAGAGATAGAGGAAGGGAGAGGAAGAAAAAGACAGAGAAATCGATGTGAGAGAGAAAAATCAATCAGCCGCACCTTGACAGGGGATCAATCCCGCAATCCAGGCATGTGCCCTGACCGGGAATTGAAGCAGTGACCTTGCAGTGCACAGGATGATGCTCAACCGACTGAACTACATTGACCAGGGCAGTCCTTTCTTAATAACACCTTGAGTGGATAACAGATAAATGACAGGAACAAATCTCTTACCGCTGTAAGAGGTCCTTCCGCTTGTGCCTCCATTGGACTTGTGGGTGTTGCTGCAATAAACTGACCACCAGCTCCAGCCTGGAGTTCTAGCCTATCTGTATATTGCTCTGAAGCAGCAGTGGCAGGGCATTCCCTGGAAAGTGCTAAGATCACACCTGAGGTTTCCTTCTTTAAATGAATATTTTCTTCCCAAGGACCCAATCGGAGGTTTCCATCTTGAGGTGATTCTTCTAGAACTTGAAGTACTTCAGGCTCCTCGTCAGAAGGGCTCCCTGTTGTTTTATGGCCTAAAGCCTCATTTGTCCTAAAATCCCGAAGGTCCTGCTCCTTGTCCACAATCACCCATTCTTTGGAATCAACCTCTTGCTTGCAAGAGCTCAAGTTAACAGCTATAAATCCATTGCTGCCACCACCATCCGCCTGCTCAGGGGTATTGGCAGAGGCAGGCTTAGAAGCATCTGGAAGATATTCTTCATCATAGTTCCAGATGTGGTCAGTACGGGCCCCAGCAGGAACACAAGGCTTACGAAGCAGGGCAGGAAGAAGAGGTTCCTTTCCTGCACTGGAATCTTTCTGCATTTTCTCCAGGCTTAAGAAAACAGAGAGAAGTTACTCAATTGTCCAAGGGTAATACTTATTGCACAACCTATAAGCTCTATACAGAACTAATATTCTCACAGAGATTAAAAAAATACGGATAAAGCATAAGGAAAGTTTCACAGATTGATCATGCTCTTCTCCACCTGTCATAATCTTGTCTGGGGAGATGGAGCCATGGGCGATGTTGCTCCTGCTGCAGAGAAGCCTAACTGGTTGACTTGTATGATCCATGTCATCTTTGCCTTGCCAATTCAATCACACTGCCCTCTGCTCTCTCTTCTCTCCTCTCTGAGGGGCTGAGAACAATTTACCCAAGGGAAGCCCTATGAAGAGAAATAGAGAGGCCTGGCCGGTGTGGCTCAGTTGGTTGGGCCCATGTACCAGGAGGCTGCCTGTTCCATTCCTGGTCAGGGCACATGCCCAGGTTGAGGGCTCCATCCCCGGTAGGGGGCATGCAGGAGGCAGCCGATTGATGCTGCACGGTCACATGGATGTTTCTTTCTCTCCCTGTCCCTTCCCCTCTCTCTCTAAAAAAACAAACCCAAACCAAAAACAAACCCAATAAACTATTTTATTTATTATTGTTTTTTTAATCTTTAAGTTGAAAGTATTACATATGTCAATAAATTACTTTTAGAACAAGGAAATAAAGAAACTAGTATACGGAAGAAAAATACTTTCTGCATTTGTTTGTCTCTAGCAATGTATGCAAATGTATACTCATTCAATTATATCCTCCAAAGGCAAGGCTTTGAAGAAGAGCAGGTACTGTACCTGCTCACCCACACCTAGCCCACTACGCACACAAAACTCCAATAATGGTGGTGGGATGGGGGAAGCTTCAGGGTATATTTTCAGTTTTGTTGTATCAAGAGGCAGTTGACATTGTACAAATCTCTCTGAGGGGCAGGCAACATAGTGTGACTGGTGGTATTTGGCTGCACTGCCTTCTGAGGACTGATCTCATCTGCAGGGAAGTAGTCTAAGCAATACATTTTTTCCTTAAGTTTATAATTAGGTGCTTCAATTCCTTATTCATTCTAGGTTCTGGCTTCAGTTCATTTTCTTTTTTTAATATATTTTTATTCATTTTACAGAGAAGGAGTGGAAGAGAGATAGAAACACTGATAAGAGAGAAACATCGATCAGCTGCCTCCAGCACACCCTCTACTGGGGATGGAGCCTGCAACCGGGGCTTGTGCCCTGACCAGGAATAGAAGTGTGACCTCCTGGTTCATGGGCCCAATACTCAACCACTGAGCCACACCAGCTGGGATTGAGTTCATTTTCTTGGATTACTTCTGTTCTCAACTCTGTTTTCCCTCAGCATGGACTCTTTTTAAAAAGTTCTATTCTGCCTAGCCAGTTTGGGTCTACTGGATAGAGTGCCAGCCTGTGGACTGAAGGGTCCGGTCAAGGGCACATGCCTGGGTTGTGGGCTCATTCTCCAGTAGGGGGCATGCAGGAGGCAGCCGATCAATGAGTCTCTCTCATCCTTGATGTTTCTCTCTTTTCCTCTTCCTATCTGAAATCAATAAAAATATTAAGGAGAACCAAGATGGCAGCATAGGTAAACACCTGTACTCACTGCCTCCCACAACATCAAAATTACAACTAAAATACGAAACAACTACCATCCAGAACTGCCAGAAAGCTGGCTGAATGAAATTCCTACAACTAGAGAAGTAAAGAAGAAAGCACCCTGAGACTGGTAGGAGGTACAGAGGCCCGGAAACGGCTGGTCAGGACCCAAGTGTGCCGCTTTTTTAATCAAAAGGGAGACTGCCTCTGAGAAGTGAGGGGTCCCAGATCGCCAGCCCAGGGTTCCAGAGCTGGGGAAAGAAGTCCCTATGGGCAGTAAGAACTAAGGGCTGTAAAAACCAGTGCGGATTGGGGCTGAGTGACATGCAGGCTTCTGGAGACCCAGCTGCTCCTCTTAAAAGGCCGTACCGTGAACTGAATTTACAAGCTCTCACTTCCTCTGAGCTCCAGTGCTGGGTGAGGCTCTGGGGGCCCAGACACATACGGGGAGAAACTGGACTGTCTGGCATTGGGGGAAGAACTCGGGGTGGCATTTTTACGGAGGTGCTCGTATTGGTCATTGTTCTCATGCAGGGACCAGTTGCAGGGCTGACTGGCAGGGCTGACTGGCAGCCACTGCTGCTTGCTCCACCATGGTGATTCCCTGAGACCCCACCCCACCCAATTTACAACCCCACCCAAGCTGTGCCCAGTGGCTTTTGCATATGAATGGTCTGTCCTTTCTCAGGCTAAAAACCTGTCAAACAAGCTGCAGCTGGGTCCCGGAGCTCTAAACCTATCAATAAAAGGCCTAAGACCCAGCACCAGCCTGCCTTGCTTCACAAGCTGGGCCTCATTTGAGCACTTCCAAACGCCAAACAAAGGAGAGGAATCTGCAGATCTCTCTGTAGCTTTTGCTGGATGGCCCCAGGCAGTGGTTGACTTTGCACCTCCCTGGAGACCCAAGAGCCAGTATACCCAGTGGTCAGAGTGAGACCACACCAGATTACAACTCTTCACATCCATAAGCGACACACTCAAGGGGCAGACTCAGTGAGCACCAAAGCCCCACTGAAGCAAGTCCTGCTCCATAAGGGTGTCTCCTGCACAGCAGTTCTCCCACTGTAAATCACAGCTGGTGTCCACAGCCAATTGGCCTGGAGGTCAATTCCTCCCAGTAATACCAACAACAATCAAGGCTCACCTACAACAAAACTGTGCACACAGCCCAGTAAAGGGTGCACTAAGAGTGTCCACCTCAGGTGATTGGGGAGGCTGAGCCACTGGGCCCTATAGGACACCTACTACCAGTACAAAAGGCCACTCTATCAACTTAAGGAGACTTAAAAGCTACCCAATACATAGAAACAAACAGAGGGAAGCAGCCAAAATGCGGAGACAAAGAAACATGTCACGAATGAAAGAAATGGAAGAAAGCAAACTACTGGATATAGAGTTCAAAACCACAGTTATAAGGTTACTCAAGAATCTTCTAGAAACCTCTGAGGAACTTAGTGAGACTTTCAAGGATCTTAGTGAGAATGCCAAAGGAAAAAAAAAAAAAAAAAGGAAAAGGACCAGTCAGAAATTAAGCATACACTGACTGAAATAAAGAATAATATACAGAGATTAAACAGTAGACTAGAGGATCCTGAGAATCAAATCAATGATTTGAAATACGAGAAAGCAAAAAATACCCAAGCAGAAGAGCAAAAAGAAAAAAGAATCCCAAAATATAAAGATAGTGTAAGGAACCTCTGGGACAACTTCAAGTGTACCAACATCTGAATTATGGGGGTGCCAAAAGAAGAAAGCAAGATATTGAAAACCTATTTGAAGAAATAATGACAAAACTTCTCCTACCTGGTGAAAGAAATAGACTTACAACTCCAGGAAGTGCAGAGACCCCTAAACAAGAGGAATCCAAAGAGGGCCACACCAAGACACATCATAATTAAAATGCAAGAGAAAAACAGTTAATTACCTACAAGGGAGTACCCATATGACTGTCCGCTGATTTCTCAATAGGAAACTATGCAGGCCAGAAGGGAGTGGCAAGAAATATTCAAAGTGATGGATAGCAAGAACCTACAACCAAGATTACTCTACCCAGCAAAGCTATCATTTAGAATTGAAGGTCAGATAAGGAGCTTCACAGATAAGAAAAAGCTAAAGGAGTTCATCACCACCAAACCAGTATTATATGAAATGCTGAAGGGTATTGTTTAAGAAGAGGAAGAAGAAGAAAAAGGTAAAGATAAAAAATATGAACAACAAAGTGACAACAAATATCTATCAACAATTGAATCTAAAACTCAAATGAATAAAAAATCTGATGAACAGAATAAACTGGTGAATGGAATAGAATCAGGGGCATGAAAATGGAACAGACTGACAATTCTCAGAGGGAAGGGTGTGGGGGGTGCGGGAAGAGATTAGACAAAGATCTTATATGCATGTATGCATTACCTATGGACACAGACAATAGGGTGGTGAAGGCCTGGGGTGGATGGGAACCGGGTGGAGGGCAGTCATGGGGGGGAAAAAAGACGGACATCTCTAATAATCTCAACAATGAAGATGAATTAAAAAATAAATAAAATAAAAATATTTTTAAAAGTTCTATTCTTTTGTTAGACTAATTCTTTATCAAACTAAGCTTTTATCCCTTTATATTTATTCCCAATCTTAGCCACAACTCAAAATGTTTAAATGCTGCCCCAACCCTAGTCCATCCTTTTGATCATATCAACATGCAGACACAAGCTTACATCACATAGCTATGAGTTGAATGATTACAGGAAGAATACACATCCATGAAGGACTGTTTAAAATGAAAGCCAGACTGGACTAGGCCAGAGAGGCTGAATTGTCTCTGGACAATTACTACAATGTCAAACACACAGTCCTTCTAACTATACTCCACTGCCAATAATAGCCACCAGGGACGTACAGTGAAGAGTGTCATTATTATTGAAGTCACTTGGGTCTTAATATTATTGAAGCCTTCTATAATTCATAAATATATCCCAAATTCTTTTAAAAGTTTCATTCTGTCTTTTATTATCAAAACTTGAGGACAATGGGCCTCATAACTGCAGTCATTATCAATGTATGGCTCTCTAAGTTTCACCTGTCCTTCTCTCAAAGTTGATTGTGAGCTCTTTAAAGTTCTGTCTTTCCTTCTTTCTAGGTAGAATAATAAACTTATTCATGTCTATTTTCCCTACAGCACTACTCATAGAAGGCCTTCATTAAAATGAACTGACTTGCCTGTCCCTTGTGTATAAATGACTTTTTCTCCCTCCTTCATGTACTCCCCTCCTTCCTGCTTAATGCCCTCTCCAACTCTACACTGCATCTTCTCCATTCCAAACAAAGTCACTTCAAAATGTTCATTAATTGACTAATTATTAACTATACCTAGTATTATGAAGTTACCAGCTCTCACTGCCCAGCTCCCAAAGCCAAAGGCTATGTTATAGGACTTGTAACAACATTAGGAGGCAATTCACAACAACAATCAGGATGAAAATTAAAAGCATAGATGAGAGCTTAATCAAATCAGTGCTACAGAAATGCAAGAATTTATTTGAAAGACTTTACATAATAAAAATAAATAAATAAAAATTTAAGATTATAATATCTTAGTAGTTTTAAAAAAAGAGGAAAAACTATTTTATACCAGGTCTCAAGAAACTTGTCAGTATCCGGCTTTGGCTCTAGTGTCAGACGTTTTTCCAGCTCAAAGCTGTGGATAGAACGTAACTTTCGCACCAACGGAACATCTCTGTCTGGCTGAGTAATCTCTGAGCGGACACGAATCGGTGAACCAAGGCTTGGAGCATTCAGAATACCATTTGCTTGACCATGGCTATTCTCCTCTTCAGTAGCAGCCTAGACAAAATATATAAGAAAATTATGAAAAACATTCCAGTTACTATACGTGATAGTCATTGTTGAAGTCTTTCAACATAATATAACCAAATGCTTGGGATGTGTTCTCACAAGATTAAGATATTTTGCCTAGTTTAGGTCATGACATACTTTTCTCTTAACCTTTTATTAAGTGAGCTTTCTTAATTTATTCTCAGTTTCAGTATTATTTTAGTTTTTATACTTAAACAATCTAAAAATGTTTAATAGCCTTAGCCTTTTGTATTACATCTAACTAGAAACTTCCAGGATCCCATCCACTACACTAAAACTTAGGACATTCTCTTTGAGTCAAGTGGTTTCACAAGAAGTAGGAGAGGTTGCCAAGCCTCAATACCTCCTGCTGCGTCCCCTCTCTAAAACAAACGAGAATAAGGAAACTTGGTGTTTGAACAATAAGGAGCTGGGTGGAGCAGGAGGCTGCTGAGCACTGGGCAGCACAGAAGGGTGGGGCTACCTAGGGACAGATGCCTACAGCGGTGCAATTATGGAAATTAAGATTTACACTAGTGGGGGCAGGAAAGAGGGAAATCTGGGACGTCTTTCTGATTAAAGACCCTCAAGAAGATGTGCAAATGGTCTCCAACAAGGGGTTCACTTTGGCTACCAGCAGAAGCAGAAGATAATCTTCTCTGAAGGAAGGTTTCTCCACTTCCCAATTTAGGTCTATAGAACTCCCACCAATTGTTAACTATAGAGTAAAACATTAAAGATAGTCAAACAAGCCCTGGTCATGTGGCTCAGTTGGTTGGAGTGTCACCCCACACACCAAAAGGTTGTGTGTTCCATCCCCCATGTTTCTTTATCTCTTTCAAATCAATAACAAACAAACAAACACATATCCCTGGGTGAGGATTAAAAAAAAAAAGATAGTCAAACACATAAGAAGGCAATGCCACCAGGATTGAGTCAGCAGAATTTTTTTAAGTGTAAGCTTCCCAAAAACATCAGCTATCAAACTTGTTCAGATACAGAATAGAGAATAGCTATGCATAAAATGTTTAAATAAATGATTCTTTGGAATTAACTGATAAATTTAATATTAAATACTCAATTAACAAGTTAAATATATTAGCCATAAAAGGCCAAAGTTATTAATTAGTGAATTAGAAGACAAAGAAAAAGAAATTACCTGGTATGAAGCACAGCAAGGTGTGAAAAATATGAAAAAATATATTAAGAGATATGATAGAATAAAAAGGCATAATATATGTTTAATTGAAATCCCAGAGAGAGAAGAGAAAGAATGAAGAGGTGGCAATATTTAGGTAGAGAATGGCTGTATATCTTCTAGAACTGATAAAAAAAATATGAACCAAAGATTCAGAAAACATAAAACATCCTAAGTAGGATAAACAAAAAGAAATATATGTGTAGATACATTGTAGTTAAAATGCAGAACACCCAAGACAAGAAGAAAAGCTAAAAAGTAGCTGGGATGGGAGGACAGGTGGAATGATTATACACTCTCACATACACACACACAAACACACACAAACAACATCAGAGTGACAGCAGACTTTTTATACCAATAGATGAAGCAAGAGGAAAAATAATTGTCGGTCAAGAACTTTAAACCCACTGAGCCAAACCAGCTAAAAAACATATGTGCATGTGTATTTGTTTGTATATGGTTGTATCAGCATGAATAACAGCATAGAACAGTGATGGCGAACCTTTTGAGCTCGGCGTGTCAGCATTTTGTAAAACCCTAACTTAACTCTGGTGCCGTGTCACATATAGAAATTTTTTGATATTTGCAACCAGAGTAAAACAAAGATTTATATTTTTGATATTTATTTTATATATTTAAATGCCATTTAACAAAGAAAAATCAACCAAAAAAATGAGTTCGCGTGTCACCTCTGACACGCGTGTCATAGGTTCGCCATCACTGGCATAGAAGGATGTACCCAGGCTATTAACACAGGTTACCTGGTTTAGGAGATGTTGGATATTTTTAAAAATACATCTAATAATATTTTACTAGCTCAGTTAACCTTTGACATTCCAGTAATTTTTGAAGATGAATTTTATGAAAAGACTGTTCAATCAAAAAAAAAAATAAAAAAAGAAAGAAAGAACTTTAAATCCAATAAGAAAGAAAAAATCCACTTTGAATCCAGCATAAACTATCATTAAAGAATTAGGTTGAGCCTTGGCTGGTTTTCCTCAATGGTTAGAATAGTGGCCCTTGGACCGAAGGGTCAAGGGTTTGATTCCCAGTCAAGAGCAGGTTCGATCCCCGGCCCTAGTCGGGGCACGCACGTGCAGGAGGCAACCAGTCTATATCTTTCTCTCACATTGATGTCTCTCTCTCTCTCTCTCTCTCTCACCCCCTCCTCCCTCCCTTTTACTCTCTAAAAATCAATGGAAAAAAAAATATCCTCAGGTGAGGATTAAAGAAAAAAGAATGAGGCTGAAATAATTACATTTACTGCTAAGTAAAAATTGAGAGTCTCTACCAAAAGATCTCAACTAAAGGAACTTCCAAAGGAAATATTTCAGGAAGAAAGATGAGTCCAGATTTAGAAAAGAAAAGAAAAAAATAAGAAAGACGAGTCCAGGACTTCCAAAAATGCAAGGAAATGGTAAACATCTTTTAAAAATTAATGTAAACATTATTTGTATGAAAGTACAACAACACTAATATCTTATTTTTTTAAAGGATGGAATTAAAAATAGAAGAGAACTAATAGAGATTAAATAGTGATAATGGGTGAAAGAAAACTAAATAATTAAGACTTATGCCAAGTACCATTTCACTCTCTCATATACACAGACACCCATATGGGCTGGCAACTAGGTGTGGGGGTTTGTGTGTGTGTGTGTGTGTGTGTGTGTGTGTGTGTGTGTGTGTTTTGTTGTTGTTTTTACCATGAGAACAGTTTGCTCCTGGTGCCATAAAGACAGCCACAGCTGTCTGACAATTTTTTCACTACTTATTCCTGATTACTATTAGTCCAAATAATGCATATTTAATAGCCAGACCACCGTGCACCATATCACACCTACACAGAGAAAGTTTTTGCACATGACTCCCATGACTGAAAGTATATACTGTTTTAAAGTATATAGTTAATGCCTCAGAAGTGATTATAGAGGATTCTTTTCAAGATGTATTCCTCATTCATAAAGCATGACTAGCCAACTTTCTATCAGTCATGTTAACAGGTATGAGCCCTAAGTCTTATTTTACACACCTATGAACTTAACCTCTTTTGCAATTAAACCTTAAAACATAGGAAGCACCAAAAACTAACTGATTTCTAATTCCTTGCCCCTACATACCATTTATCTTCATATAATCTCCTATGAAAATGGAAATGACGAGGAACAGTAAGATCAGAGAGAAATTTGTGGAAGATTACTAAAAATTAATCATTCAATTTAGAAATCTATATCTTTCCCCATACTTACAGGTGGACCTACTTGCAATTCTAATGAAGAAAAAAAATCATGTCATTTGTTCAACATCCACGTTGTCAACTCATAAACAGTTGTGTGATGCTTCCCATTTCCAACTCTCCCTTCCCCACCTCTATCTGAGACAGTTTTCAGAATGGGTACTCATAGCTCTATCAGTCCACACCAAAGGAGTCCGGGGTCTTGTCACATTATTTAGAAAGACTATTCACTTCTGTTCTATAGATGTCTCTTCTTTTTTCTCAGGGTCTAGTTAGTTTTTTTTAAATATCTTTATCTTTTTCATAAAATACAAGATGAAGATTAATATCTGGTATCCATACTTCAATATTTTGGGCAAAATTAGCCAAAATACTGCAATTACAAATATAGAAATAACTAGCAATACTGTCTACTTCTCATTCAAAATTGAGAATCATTATATTTTGCTACAATAGGAGAAAATAAGTACACAGAAAGATATTACTTCCTATGCAAGAAATACACACCTTACAAATTCCAAACTTTATCTTGTTCCTGTTGGCATCCATCTCTTCCCAGACATCCTTCTCCTGGGGATGAGTGTGTCCCAGAGATCCGGGCAATTTATCTGGTGACATACCAACAGGGATGCCATTCTCCCCATCACTAAGCTGTTCATCTGGAAACACCTCATCTGTATTTTCTCGAAGCAAGTCCCCTGGGATGGGAGTGGCATTAGCAATTCTAAAAATGAGGGGTGAAGAAAAGGCAGAACTTAAAAACACCAGAATCAAAAATTACAATGAGACTATTTTCCATTTTGTTTCTGGAGTTAAATGATGAAGTCTATATATCATTAAAGAGTAAAACAAAACAAAACCCAACACCTTGGAAACAGGCTGTGACAATTCTACAAAATAAAACATCTACATTTTGATCAATAGAATTTTCAACCTGATTTAAAAATAAAAATTCCAATATAATAACTCACTAATTTAATAATTACTTTAAAAGTTAGAAACATTTGGTCTATTTTCCAAGAAGTAGTTTTCAATTTTTATTTGCTGTTTTTTACTCATTTTTCTCAGAGAAAAACTATAAACAGGAAAATGTTAAGAATAATAATGATATAAGCAGGTATCAAATCAATTAAGTTATGCTTTGAATAGTGTAAAATGTGCATTTGTTTTTTCATTTACAGACTTTTTACTAAGTACCTACTCCATGCAAGGCCCTAGGAGACATAATCGAAAGGAAATTCTTGCCCCCTAGGGGGAACTAGAAAATGTGCAATTACACAGTTTATCCATCTGCATGAACTGACCAGGAATGATACAGAAAATATAAATTGGCACTTTGTATATATATTGCTTTCAAAGGAACTTCATGCCTGTTTACATGGTTGGTCATCTCTCTCTCAGACTTCTGGCCCATGAAAGGCTTTTCTAGTTCTGTTATCACTAGAGATTAGGCCCCTGTCAGCTCTAACATTCCATAACTCTACACTCTACTCAATTTTTAAAAATACTGCTGACTGAACACAGTATCTAGTACACAATGAAACCTTTTCCTAGAGGTGATCTGGAAGGTTTAAAAGTAGAAAAGTCTTCATTAGATTATACTGACATAATTATTATGAGTGATAAAATAAGGCAACTTAGTGCACCACTCTAAGGATAGCATTACACCCTGGCCCAGATGTCATAAATGCCATGCTGTGAGAACAAAGATCAGTCATTTTCAGGGACTTGTCAATAGGTTAGAGGTAAGTAATATAGAAAAGCACTGGCCATGGCTCTCAGGAAAGAAACTTAGAGCCTGGGAGTTCTGACACTAAGAACATCTTGAAAAGGTAAGTTTGGCCTAAAGTAGTTCAAATGAAAGGATTATAAAAGTAAAGTTCAGGAGGGGGATGGGTAGAGGTAGAACAGGGGATAGAGGGGATAAATGGTGATGGGGAAAATTTTAATTAAAAAAAGTAAAGGTAAGAAATAAATTGGCTATTAAAGGATTTTTCAGGTGTAAGTAGACACTAACATATGTTACATGGTATGCTAAGTATTTATTGAAAGAATTCCCTCTATCCTGAGGAAAAGCACTGGCAAAAGGAAAAATGTTTTGAGTTCAGGAAGCTCAATCTACTAGCCCCATATCCTCCCCTCCCCCCATTTTAATCACTGAGTGGTGTTCCAAATCCTTTTTCCCACATGCCTACTACTTTGCCTCTTTCCAACTACCAATTCCTTGGCATTTTCTTCTTCCACTTCTCCACCTATGAACTGCTGCTATTTTTACTCTATCTTAATTTCCCTCGTATCTCTTAGACTTCAATATAATACCACACACTTCCAGGAGCTCTCCCATTCTCTCCACACAGGCTGTCTTCCACATAACTCAGGTTCCTCTCTGCACTTACTCTCCCACTTTTACTCCTTACATTATTTTCTTTCTTCTCCTAAAATTCTGATCAAAACCTGGATTTTGAGATACAAAGGTAAGACTTCCTTTCCAGAGAAATTATGTTAAGGAATAAGAATGAGAAAGTATATATGAGAGTATTATGTTAAAGAATAAGAATGAGTGAGAAAATATGTGTGAGAGTATTATGTTAAGGAATAAGAATGAGTAAGAAAGTATGGTGAAAATATTTTTAGTATATGGTCTGTGTTTGCAGGCTAGATATAAACTATAGAAGCAGATTAGGAAAAAAAAAAGTGAGGTGTATGGGAGAACTGGAAAAGTAGTAAGAATGGACATCCTTTTCGTATTCCTTTCCCCATCATCTAAGTCAGGGGCTGGCAAACTAGGGCTTCTGAGCCAAACCTAGCCTGCTCCCCTATTTTCTGTTAATACCATATTTTGGCACACAGTCACACTCATTCGTTTCCATGTTGTCCATGGCTGCTTTAGCACTACAACAGCAGCGATATGGAGGCAGAGACAGCAGAGTCCACACATTTTTATCTGGCCCTTTACAGACAAGGTTTGCTGACTTCTGATTTGAAACATCCTCCTACCTTCTCCTGAACTTACTTTCTTCTTCTAGTAAGAAATTCAGAGTTGTGGGACATACATAATCATATTTTTCTCTTTAACAATGATTCTCTAGGGCTTTCTAGTTATCCTCCATAACATTTGCAAACAGAGACTTCAGCAAACTTTTTTTTTTTTAAGAGAGTGGAAGGGAGGGAGTGGGGGGAGAGAAACATCAACGTGAGAGAGATATATTGATTGGCTGCCTCCCACACATGCCCTGGGATCAAACTTGCACCTCAGGTAGGGACATGCCCTTGACTGGGTATCGAACCCAAGACCCTTCAGTGTGCAGGCTGAATCTCTAACCCAGTGGTTCTCAACCTTGGCTGCACATTAGAATCACCTGGGAATCTTTTTAAAATCCTGATTTCTGGGCCTCATCCTCCGGAAATTCTGTTTCTTTGTTACTAATGTTGTGGCCTCACCCCATAACAAAGAAACAGAATTTCCGGAGGATGAGACCCAGAAATCAGGATTTTAAAAAGAGCCCTAACCGGTTTGGCTCAGTGGATAGAGTGTCGGCCTGTGGACTCAAGGGTCCCAGGTTCGATTCCGGTCAAGGGCATGTACCTTGGTTGCGGGCACATCCCCGGTGGGGAGTGTGCAGGAGGCAGCTGATCGATGTTTCTCTCTCATGGATGTTTCTAACTCTCTATCCCTCTCCCATCCCTCTCTGTAAAATATCAATTATATATATATATAAAAGATTCCCAGGTGATTCTAATGTGCAGTCAAGGTTGAGAACCACTGCTCTAACCACTGAGATCACCAGCCAGGGCAGCAAATGTTTTCTTAAAGGGCCAGATAGTAAATGGTAAGCTTGTAGGTCTAATACTTTTTTTTTTTCAATTCAGCTAGTTTAAATTCCGTGCAATCTTTAAGCTGTGGGCCAATATGTATTATACAAGTATCAGTCTGCCTTTTTAAAGGCACTTCAACTTATAAACACCATGCTAGGTATTTGTACCATTCCTCACCAGTAAAACGAGACCAAGTTAACTACCCAATCAACTAACAAAAGGAAAGCTAGTCCTTCGCTGTCTGCCTCCCACTTGCACTACCTTTTCCCTAGCCCTTTTAAACGATTTTTTTATTTCCCCCCAATTTTACTCAATGTTTTTTTATTAAATATTCATTTGAGTATATTCTCCATTGTGTATTTTATAATTTACTAAATTCTGAGATACCGTTTTTCTTCCTTTTCTTTCAAGTCTCATTTCTTTTTCTGTTTTCTTTTTCCTTTTTCTCTCCCTGACCCCACCCCTTTTGGGGTCTATTTCTTTTCTTTCTTTTTTTTTAAAATTTATTTTATTGATTTTTTACAGAGAGGAAGGGAGAGGGATAGAGAGTTAGAAACATTGATGAGAGAGAGAAACATCGATCAGCTGCCTCCTGCACACCTCCTACGGGGGATGTGCCCGCAACCAAGGTACATGCCCTTGATTGGAATCGAACCTGGGACCCTTCAGTTCGCAGGTCGACGCTCTATCCACTGAGCCAAACCGGTTAGGGCTCTATTTCTTTTTTTAAAATAATTTTTTAAAAATTAATTTTTCCATTACAGTTGACATAAACATTAGTTTCAAGTATTCAACACAGTGAATATTTATATTCCTTACAAAGTGATCCTCCCCAATAGTTCTAGTACCCATCTGACACCATATAGTTACGACAATATTATAGACTTACTAGAGGCCCGGTGCACAGATTCGTGCAAGAGTGGGGTCCCTCGGCCTGACCTGCGGGGATCAGGCTAAAACCGGCTCTCTGACCTCTCCAGAGGGGTCCTGGATTGCGAGAGGGTGCAGGCAGGCTGAGGGACCCCACTAGTGCACAATCAGGGCCGGGGAGGGACCGCGGGAGGGCTCTAGGACATGTCCGGCCTGTCTTGCCCAGTCCCGATAGGCCAGACCCCAGCAGCAAGCTAACTTACCAGTTGGAGCGTCTGCCCCCTGGTGGTCAGTGCGTGTCATAGCAACTGGTCAAACAGTTGAACAGTCAGACTCTCAGCATATTAGGATTTTATTATATAGGATTCCCTATGCTATGCTTTATATCCCTGTGACTATTTTTTATAACTGGCAATTTATACTCTTAATCCCTTTTACCTTTTCCACCCATCACTGGGTAGAGGTGGGGGTATCTATTTCTATTCTTAGTTTTAGGTGGTTATCCATATTTTCAAATGAATGAGCATATTTAATTCCATTTTGGCTTTTGTCTTAGTTTGCAATGTTTGATAGAATATTTTTTTTTAAGGTAGATTCCCCCAGAAAATGGATTTGACAAATTCCTTCATTCTAAAAAGATAAAAGCTTTCAACAAAGTGGGAATAGAGGGATCATACCTTGACATAATAAAA